GCCCACCCCGCCCAAGACAGGGCAGGCCAGGATCTCGCCTTGGGTGGCGCAGCGGGATCTGCCTGCAGTATGCAAATTAGCCGCCATCTTTGTTGGCGGTTAATTTGCATATCTTGCTGATTAGCCAATGGGAGGCGTATCGGAGGTACTGTTAATTTCAATCTTTGTCTATTATTAGATAGGATTGACCAGTTTGATTCTAACCACCAGCCCCATAAAGGGAGGTACTTTTATTTTCCTTATTTTATGGCAGTTGAGAGTGTGTGCAAAGTTTCAGGATAGTAAGTGCTAGAGATGGGACTTAAATCCAGGTGGTCAGGCTGTAGAGTCTTGAGTTCTAACCACAGCTCTATAAAAGTAGGAATGTGAAAAGGGATGGGCAACACTGGAAGAATGAGCACTCTACTTTGAGCTAATAACTCAGCATTTTTATAGTTCATCATGTTATAACGAGGGTATTTAATCTTATTGAGTTCTAATTTTTGTGCTTTTTAAGAAAATGCATAATAGGCAACCAACTGTAAGTTGAGAGTTGGTCAGTTTCTAGAGATGCTTGAAACAAAATTGTCTAGTGAGTTCAGGCTTTTACATACAGATCCCTTAGGTGGCTCCTCCTCCTCCTCCTCCTCCTCCTTCTCCTCCTTCTTCTTCTTCTTCGTCTTCTCTCTCTCTCTCTCTCTCTCTCTCTCCTCTCTCTCTCTCTCTCTTTCTCTCTCTCTCTCCATTAGCTATAGCAACTATTATGTATTATCATTCTATTCTACCAAGCTGCTTTATATGTAGAATTTAAGAGTAAGAAGACTGCCTTTTTTTTTTTAAAGAAAGTTATCTAAGTCAGTGTTTCCTAAGAAAGTCAGTGTTTCAAAGGACATCTGAGAGTAACCAGATATTATTACCAGTCACCAATGTGGTTAGGTAAAAAAGGTAAAGGAAAGATTATTAATAAGGCTAGTCATTACAAACAAAATGTTAACAACTGCAGATATTTCATACAGTAAGGATCTCCTTTTAGGTGAATTACTCAGAGACATAACTATGAGGAATTGGCATTTGCTAAAAGTGTGTTGATAGAGCTGGGTACTGATCCATAGGATTAGCATGATAAGTAAATCGACTTTGTAGACATTATGTATTCATTATGGCCACATTGATGAAAACATGTTATGTGAAAAATCTCTCTATACCAAAACAAGAGGAGAAGAGAGCAACTAACAAGTGGATGAAAATAATATTATACCTAATTGATTAGTAAAATTTTCTGTATGAATGAAATGCATGTTATGTAGTAATCAAGTCTATCACATATTTATTTTGATCCAGAATAAATTCTAAATCATTTTAAAAACAGTTAAAGGAAGTCTTTCATTTCACCTACTGCATTTGATATTCACTCATCATCACACGGACACTTTGGAGAATGTGTTACCTGCACCGCGTGGTTATGATTTAGCTTTTACACTCGGTGTTTTATTTAGAATCCTTTGGCAGATGAAGCTGTTGACCTCAGTTAGCCAGAAAACAGCTGCTTTTCTATTTTGATTTGTAGTTAATGTTTACCAAGTGTCAAGCACATGTGGAGAAATTTTTTCCATAGACTGATATTAAACATTTTATTTATATTTCTTTTATTTTTAATGGTCCATGAACTGCTTGGAAATGTGAGAACCAATTAGAGCATTCACTGTAAATGTTTTTAGAAAAAAAATCTCCCTTGGGTATTTCTCTAATGGATCAATATCACATTCATTTATTTTAGTACCATTCTCAACTACGGTGCTATATTCTGGAAACAGCCTGTTATCTATTTTAACTGAGTTAAAAATACATGATCTCTTTCAAATTTTTCAAAAGTTCCTGCCTGAAGTCAAAGCTAGGTGGTCCCCAGTAGTCATGTTTGACTCTTTATTTTGTCAATGAATGAATAGGTTGAGAAAATGTCCAGTTGATAATGTTAGTTTAATGACTATTTCTTATTTCTTGTAATTATTAAAATGAAGATAATTTAGTTCCTTCTTTTTTTGTGGGAATTAGAATTTCACTTTTTTGATATATTTTTTCTATTGGTAAATATATGAGCCCTATTATTTTTATTTTTCTGTTCTGCATAGTTCACTGAAATTTAGTGCAAAATGCGAAGAAACCTAAGGGGAAGGCTAAGGAGGCACTACTGTGCCCTTTGGTGGCAGATGGAGATATGGAGAACATGTGTCCTGGGTGCTGAGTAGCATAAAATAATGGGACAAATTGAGAAAGAAATTAGGAAGGAAATACTGTAAGATTCACAACGTTTTGTTGTTGTTGTTTTAAAATATATTTTTATTGATTTCAGAGAGGAAGGGAGAGAGGGGGAGATGAGAGAGAGAGAGAGAGAGAGAGAGAGAGAGAGAGAAGCATCAATGATGAGAGAGGTTTATTGACTGGCTGCCTCCTGCACGCAACCCGGGGCATGTGCCCGGACCAGGCGTCGAACTGTGTCCTCCTGGTTCACGGGTTAATGCTCAACCACTGAGCCATGCCGGTGGGTGTCACCATGTTTTATTTATTTGTGGCAAGTTTCAGGTGCAGTGAAATAGCCCTAAATTCTTTGGGCACCGAAAACCTAGGTAAGGAAGCAATAGTTTCTTCACAGGGTTATGTGTTTTGCAGAAGAGAAACTCTACCGATTAGCTGTGCTAACCATCAGCTTTCCCTTTGTGTTTGCCTGGGTAGAGTGTGACTTGCGAAAGTAGCTCTAGAGTTTTCTTCACATGTGCTTAAAAATGAAGCCTTCTAGTAATGTTTTAAGAAAATACATTTTTGTCTTTCAGGAACATTACAAAAAGCCTACTTGAAATCAAATGAGAGTGAACCTATAGCTACTGACGGTGAAGTTCAAGTGCCTGATGTTCTTCTTACAAATACAATTTACCCCGAGAGCACCGTGACATCTACTACACATCCCAGCCAACACATTCCCGCCTGGACCACGGATGCTTCTCTCCCAGGGGACCAAGGTCACAGGAACACAAGTAAGTCTGAAGGTGCTGAATGCATGTGCCCTTTAATGTCTGTGGAACCCACAGGTGGATTTTTAAGTGTGGCAACAGATGCTCATAAATCACAATCACTTCCTGATCATACAGGCAAAGCTCTACTCATTTCCCCGGCAAGTCTAGCAGAGCGCGCTGTTCAGCTCAGCCGTCCCGATAGGACATAAGTGAGTCATGAAGATGCACCGTGCGATTCAACATTTCTGAGACATGAAAATGTGTTTGCCCCAACATAATGGTACTGATTTTGGGGGGTTCACCTCTAAAAGTTTGCGCTTCTATTTTGAAGTTTTAAGTTACTTATTTTGAGATGCTTAAATGATGTTACTTATTTTGTTATCGGTGCCTTGTAGAAGGGACCCCCGTTCTGCAATAGAACGCCAAGTGATTTAACAGGAGCTACCCGCCCTCTCATTTGCCTTTGACATGTCCAGGGGTTCTTATTTCCTCGCTCACTCTCCTCCCTCTTTTATTGACTGTGCAATGTGCTGTACGTGCTGGTGACTGACAGGTCACCACACCATGAGGAACATGGCATGTGTGGAACTTCTGCTTGAGGGCAACTGGAGAGATTTGTCAGTTATTCCAGTAAAAGAGCTGGGAGAGAGAGAAGACGGAAAGTGTGCAGATCGCGTCAGTGAGACGGTGGCAGACAATAGGTGACTCTATTCCTCAGCACCCCTCAGTTTTTTTGGTCAAGTTACTAAGCTTCCAGTGTGGAAGGGAATGGATGTGTGTGGAAAGTGCCCTAGAGCTTCGGCTCTGCTCCAGTCAGCGTCGATGAGACAGTCAGCATCGTCTCTGTCAGGACTTGCTCTGCGGTTGTCTTGATTCTTATTTTCTTCCTCCTAAAACTAAGTTATGTGACTGAAAGCGATAGCAGGCCTACCAGCCACCATCATCTTCTTGTTTGTTCCTCCCTCTTTCATGAAAACCCACCGCGGGCAATCACAGCTGAGGGCCAGGACAGAGTGTTTATTTTCATTCTGAGCCCGGAGGGGAAGGAGGGAGCTGACGCTTGGCTATCACAGGCCATGTTTGCCAGGGTCTGAAGAAAAGCAGGATTATTCCCATTTCTCCAAAGAGACAGACTGTTTGGACTCCATTGTTTCACACGGCACCGATAGGCACTAGCTGTTCCTTAGACTCGGTGTTCACCAGTGATTCATACACAGGTTTGTATTCATTACCTGACAGTGATACTGCAAACCCGAATTATGCCAAGTAAAATGTATGTTCCTCCTGAGTTTAATTTTGAGGTTTTTTTAAAAAAATATTTTGGTCATGCCTTTAGCACTTCATTATTCTCAAGGACAGTATTTTTCCATCAGAAGTGCAAAAGTCATTTAAGCAAAAACTCAGTCTAGTTAATGTGGTTGCAATTACAGCCATTGTTATTTTCTTTCGCTAAGTGGATTTGTCTCGATTTTGAAAGCTCCATTATTTGTTGAGATTCCAGTTGAGGTGATAGACACGTACCCTAAAGAGTAAAGAAACATATGGTACTGGTTGCTCAGTTTGGAAGTTTGATGGGAGTCTGTTTGACTCATTCTTTTCTTCCTGTGGCTGGAAGGTTGCTTGAGAACATGAATGTAAGTTGACATGTAAAGGAAATCCAGGTAAAATGAGAATGATTAAATGCAGAAAGGCTGAAACCTTTGAATATGTGTCATTCTAGGTTGTTAATGTCTTGATTGTTCGAATTGAGCTTTACTGTTAGACTACATGACCCTCAATAGACTGTCTATATTAACTAACATAGTTTATTGCAAGAGATTTGATAGTTTTTCATACATTCCAGCAGTATTCCTACCCTGCTATTCTAGAGTTGCGTATGTGTGCGTATTTTCTCTGTGGTTCTTATAACTAACTGATAAGGTACACAGGACAGGCAATATGTACCAGTTTTCAAGATATAAAATTAAGGATTAGGGAAATTAAGTTGACGTGTCTGATATCACTTGTGTGGTAATCAATCGGTAGACATGGAATTAGGATTCAGATCCTGGGACTCCTAGACCAGTGCTCTTTCAAGTATTGCATGCTTCCTCAGTCAATATCATTGCTTTTTTGCAGAGGCAGGAGCATTACTGAGTACATTTAAAAAAATGTATGTATTTTTATTGATTTCATAGAGGAAGAGAGAGGGAGAGAGAGAGATAGAAACATCAATGATGAGAGAGAATCATTGATCGGCTGTCTCCTGCACAACCCACACTGGGGATCAAACGCACAACCCAGGCATGTGCCCGGACAGGGAGTCAAACCATGACTTCCTGGTTTGTAGGTCGATGCTCAACCACTGAGCCATGCCATCTGGGCACTGAGCAAATTTTAAGCTCCAAGCAAGTAGAAGAGTAGTCTGTTTTGTTTGTTGCTGTCTATCCCATGATCAGCAAAAATAATTGTTGAATTGTAGTATCTGATTTATCACTTTTTGTTAGTAATGCCTAATCACACTTCTGCACTTGGTATTTATTTAACCAATTCTGTTTAAAGCATCATTTAATGCCTTGTGTCTGTATTAACACCTAGCAGAGAATTTGCCTTATTTCTGTTTTCAATCATTCTCTAATGAAAATGTCATTTTAAATTCCAGGCATATGTAAAAGCTATTTAAGTCCATTTCAGTCCAAAAATACAGTAGCCAGACATCCTGTCCTTCCCAGATATCTTGGGTAGAAAACCAAGGGAGAACTCCTGGCAAAAGGTATCAGGAAATAGCCTTTCCTTAAGACATTTCCTTGGGAGGGGAGGATGATGTGGGGGCGGGGGGG